AATTCTAAATTACCACTGCACGATTAAGGACTTCGTCTCTTATAGATAGATTCTCGTAAAATATTTTAAGGATCGGTTGTAGGTACGTTGGAAGCACCGGGTAAGCAAGAGTCTGAAACGACGCTAGTACGTACGTTACTTTAGATAAATATTAAATTAGCATGGGAAAAGTTTGTGCGTTCGTCGGCGCGGATATGCCGATGTATGCAGATCAGACGGTTCCGGTTCAGCTGTGAATATAATTAAATTATTGATTTATTCTTGTACGAAGTTTTGATCCCTCCTCTTTGCGTCTGTTCGGTGTTCAGATGTACCTCGTGTCTTGGCTGGTTATCCTGAAAACAGTCTTTTAAGGTTTAGAGGTTGCTATTTGATGACAGAAATGGGCCAGACTTCGGTTTTATGAAAGGGGGAGCAATAATACATTCATGAAAAAATGTAACGATTCTGATTGGTGAACGAGCCCACCTGGTGTTAAGTGGTTACTGGAGCCCACTACATTAACCATTTAACACCACAGTAACCGCTTACATCTACAACGTAAATGCGACACACATCTTAAGATATAAGTTCTAAGGTCTCAACTATAGTTACATCGGCTGCCCCACCTTTCAGACTGAAACGCATTACTGCTTCACGGCAGAAATAGCCAGGGTGGTCGTACCTACCCGTGCGGACTCACAAGAGGTCCCACCACCAGTAAAAGGCTTAATGTAGTCCACAAAAATGGCAACTTGGTGGTACTTCACGTTGCCAACTGGTTAGAAATTAATGTGAGAGAATTGGCTAACACTAGTCCTGCGAAGCACTAGTTACTCTTGCTAGTGCAAGTATTAGAAAATTCTCTCAGGTTGTGCCTACCCGCCGGGGCGTAGCCGGAATAGCCTCTTAGGCTACCACCGAATAGGTAGGAGAAAAAAAAATTAAGTTGCAATGTGAGCGGATAGGAACCAGTGGTTTTAACGGCAGATATATTTAAATATGATATGAGGAAAGGTTCAAGCACAGTGAAGTCGTCATGGCCTAAAGGATAAGGCGCCCGGTGTATTCGTATGAAGCGATGTGACTATGCCAGTGCTCAAATCACGCAAAACGGTACCAGTTATTCTAATCAACTATACGTAGTTAGGTACGCCTAACTCATGTTCTTGAACGATTTTTACGATGAATTAAGAACACGTGTGAGTTAAACAAGAAACGAGCAAAAATTTATAATTAACGTTTTTTTTATTTTTTTTATTGTGTATATGGGTGGACGATCTCACACCTCACCTGGTGTTAAGTGGTTACCGGAGCCCATAGATATCTACAACGTAAATGCCGCCACCCACCTTGAGATATGAGTTGTAAGGTCTCAAGTATAGTTACATAGGCTGCCCCACCCTTCAAATCGAAACGCATTACTGCTTCACGGCAAAAATAGGCAGGGTGGTAGTACTTATCCGTGCGGACTCACAAAACTTCCTACCACCAGTCATTACGATATAATTACGTAATAGATATCAAGTTTCGAGGTGGCATTGGCTATGGTGGCAGTGGTTAAGGGCGTCAGTTACCACTTAATAGCGGGTTTCCTTGAGCTCGTGCTTATCCAATGTTACAAAAAAGTACCTTCCAACTTTATAACTACAATCGAACCTTTCAGTAAAAGACATTGGTCAAACGCTAATGAAAGCTCATCTGAATCGTTTCAAAAGTTTTCGATGGTTAATTTTAATGGTTTTATCAATGAGTTTAAGATTGACCTTTAGATTGGAAATAGGCGTTAGCTTTCCACTTTTCACAAAAAAAATATAATTTAAAGTCAGTATGGTTGGTAATCTATATTGTCAATATTGTTTTTTTCGTTGTCGGCTTAAGAATGTTTCGGTCCTCGTTTTCCAAGTGGTATAAACGTTGAAGCTTATGTGTGACGCGCGCTTCCTACTTATTATTTTGGCAGTTAACCCGTCTGCCCTGCCCGGGCCAATAAAAGCCGAACGTTAACGGCCCAAAAATGCGGAGGTGCCTTTTATTTTATGCGTTTCCGTGTTTATATTGCAGGGTTTGCATTAGTCGTTATCGATTGATTAAACTTTGGGAGTTGTTCGGTAGCTGCGACGGAGATGTTTTCTTTCAAGATTGTGACGTCATGCGTCATTGGTATTCGGGGCCTTGTCTTTGGTGTTCTAGGAATAGGTAGTACAAGTTGAGTCTCACAACAATGCAAATTAGTTTTTCCTCAAAGTATTACCGAATAATTTTACTGCGCGAAGGTCAGTATTTTTAACTATTTTTCGTTTCTTTGACAGTGACGATTTTATATTATTGTTTAGTTATTTCGGTTTTAATTTTAAAATAGGGCGCGCTGACGTAAATCAGTAAAATATGTAAGAACAAATTACCTATCCTATTAAATGCCGATTGTTTGCTTACTGTCTGTGAGCGTCAATTTCTCAAACGATTCTCACATAAAATATTACTTATTGTCGTCGAGGCAAAAACTCACATTCACTCAGCCTACTTTCGAGCGAAGTTTCATATTACATAAGCGTCCAACTTGTTGTGTTCATCAAAAAGTACTTTAGAAACACGAATCTTATCGTATACAATTCATAAATACACGACAAGTACATAGTCCGTACAATCTAATGAAATTGGGAGTGGCTGTGAATTTAAAATGAGTTATTCGCGGGCATCCGAAACAAAATCTTCCTTTTTTTTATTATATCTCAGATTCCTTGTACTAAATTGAACCTATGATGTGACGAGGCTCGGCAGGTAGACTTCCGAATGAGTAGTTTAGACTGCTTTTTGTTCCAGAACTATTTAAGGTTCCTGCGTGAAATTGAGAAATCTTTATAAATTAGAATCGATAGTTCTAAAATTAACCTTTGAGCTCTATCTTATACCTTTAAACGAGCAATTCTTGTATATATATAATCTGATCTCGGAAACGGCTCCAACGATTTTTATAAAATATATACACTACAGTAGTATAGTATATGTATAGTATAGTATATATATATATATTATACATAGTATACAGGGGATTTCGGGGGCGATAAATCGATCTAGCTACGATTTATTTTCAGAAAATGTTGTTTTATTCGTGTTTTCAATAATCAACTCTTCCCGACATCTATTGGCGAATAATAATACTATTTTTCTTAATTGAGGGCAACTAAACACTTTAAAGACACAACAAGATGGCGTTATCAAAAAAAAACTGAGCTAAGCCCGGTCATCATCTGGTTCATAAAATTTGCAAAAAACTCCCAATAAAACTTCGGTAATAGTACGGTTTATTTGAACTAATCGAGGTCTTAGTAGGCTTAGCATTATCGATAATGAGAACAATATTGATTCGTTTATTTTAAGCCTTCAACCTATCCATGAATGTGAATGACATTTGAATTGTTAAGTAATGTATCGTGTTTGCCGACATAATAATACTGTATATAATTTGTATTAGTTTCAAGCATGCTATGCATTTTATAAATATTTTGTTTGTACTTTTTGTACTTGCTTTAATAACAAGCACATTTTTTTATTTCCGTAAATGTACGAATCCACTCATGGCTCATATTGTGTTATGTGATTGCGGAATCCCATAGACATAACAACATTATTGTCGTCATGCATCTTGAGACGTGATGCGGGAGTTTAAATTGTATTTCATAAAGGCTGTCTAGCCCCTTCAAAACGGAGCGAATGATTGTTTATTGGCAGGAATACATAGGATTGATAGAACAGTTTTTTAGTGCATGTAAATCCGTCGCTAAATCGTCGGCGGGCATGTGTTAGGAAGTTATTAAGGAAAACTGATTTGAAAAGAATTTAACTCCAGCTATGTCGCATCATTCGATACTAGTATCACTATTCTACAGAAGTTTCATTTCTAATACTACTAGAACTCTCATTCACCGTCGGCCATATAACAGTTTACGGGTCATTCGATCTTAAGTTGTTACCATCGGAAATAACAGGCTTCAATGTCTACTAAAACTCTCCTTATCTAAGTTTGAAAGAGCCCATTCAATATGAGAACTAAAAAAAAACTCGAGTTCGACTTGCGATAAACAGAACAAAGTTATTATCTTGATCGGGAAATATCCTCTGAGAATATCTCGAACGCTTAGCCTTTTTTGCCGCGTTTGAAAAGCCATTGTTTCCTCATATTTTGCTTCGAGCGCCCTCAGTTCGAAAGGTACTCGAAACTGCTTATTTAGCCCTCCAGCATACACCCTTTTGGGGTTAAAGAGCTGATCAAGTTTCCAGGTTTTTGCCGTAGACGTTTGCTTGTTATTTGTTTATTTTCTATCGAACTAGTCGAAGGGTTCTAAACGAAAATCGGTCGAGCAAATAACGTCATGTACAGTTAGATAATTTTCTGAGAATTAATTTTGTTTAGTCTTTCCTTCGAAGCATCTGTATGTATTCGAACTTATACACACATCATTGTTTATATAAATTTGTCGTAAGCAAATAACCCTGGTTTATTTATCTTCTTCTTTTTCTTCTCAGTCGTGTCACTCTTGACAGAGTGGTCGTGATCGTCATGTAGTGTTGGAAGGGGCAGACTTGATTTATTTATCTATGTGCTGTATATAATAGATTGAGTTGTAAAAATCTGTAGTACTCTGTGATCATTACCAAAGTAACCTAAATGAGAAGGAAAGTTGTGGTTTTCGATTCTCCTTTTTTTTCCTGCCTAAGTTGAGAGCCTTGAGAGGCTATTTCAGCGTAATCTTAACTAGTAGGTGAGCTCACGGGGCTCAAACCTGACGACGTTGCTAACACGAACCTTAGCAAGAGCCGTGCTTCGCAGAATCTACCACCGGATCGGAAACGCGACCCACTGAGAAGATCCGGCGAGAAACTCAGTGGGCTGTGTCTGAGGGTTAATTTACTCGTCGAGCCCTTCGTCGCAAGCGACGGGTTCAACGAGAACGATGACCGGTGCTTGAGCTGTGCTGAAATATACTAACTATTATTTAAAATGAAATGTATTGTTACAGGAACGGTCCCGTGGAGGGTGCGTACGGTTCGCAACACAGTCCCGTGTCGCGATCGGACGCCTCCACAGAGGACGCAGAGCTGTCAGCGGCGTTAGCGCATCAACACCATCTAGCTATGCAGGTAAGTTTACGTAATTGCTTGTCGACACAGTGTGCTCAGTGCGAGTTTTTTTAACTTTTAACTTTTCGATCGCGTAAAAGTAAACTCGAATTTGTACGGGGCTGGAACAGCGCCCCTAGCGGCAAACGGAGCGAAGATGTTACAGCTCTATACGAATTTGTCTTTACATTGATAAATTACTTTTTGGATTGCTACGTTATTGGTGTCTTATCTAATAACGGGACTCTCAAATTAAAAACCATGCGAATCCGTCAAAATTAAAATCTCAACATAAGCAGCCTCGAAAATAAATATGTCATTTGCTACTAATACTAAAAAATTTATTTGGAAACATAAATGTGATTTGAAAACCCATCAACAGGCTGGTGACTATCCCCCGATGAGCAGCGGCGTCGATCCTGACTACGGGCAGTACGTGTCGTCGCCGGCAGCTCACTACAACCACATGGGGCATTTGACTATGGCGCCCTCGCAGAAATATCCGCATGTTAGTATACGAAAGGCTAAACGGAAAACGTTGCCAGACATTTAACATTACTGGTAACACTGGTATTTCGTGTTTAAGGGTAATTACTGATAGATTAATAGGTACTTGTCATAAATTGTTAGTAGTGATGGGATTAAATACTGAAAGTCGTCGTGGCTTAAAGGATAAGATAAGGCGCATTCATGTTGAGCGATGCATCGGTGTTCGAATCCCAGGCGGGTACCAATTTTTCTAATGGAATAAGTACTTAAAAATGTTCACGATTGACTTCCACGGTGAAGGAATAACATCGTGTAATAAAAATCAAACCCGCAAAATTTTATTTGCTTAATTACTGGTGGTAGGACCTCTTGTGAGTCCGCACGGGTAGGTACCACCGCCCCGTCTATTTCTGCCGTGAAGCAGTAAGGCGTTTCGGTTTGAAGGGTGGGGCAGCCGTTGTTACTTGAGACCTTAGAACTGATATTTAAAGGTGGGTGGCGCATTTATGTCGTAGATGTCTATGGGCTCCAGTAACCACTGAAAACCAGGTGGGCTCTGAGCTCCAAACATCTAAGCAATAAAATAAAAAAAACTTTTACTTGTGATGTGATTAAATACTGAAACCGGTAGACACCAAAAAGGTCATTGCTGCTGCCCAAACTGAGAAATGCGATAGAAAACTATAGGTACGACGGTTAAGGGAAATAATAATGAATAAATAACCGGGAAAAATCACGTACGGTCATTCGTCTCCAAATTAAGATTCCCTATGTTATGGGTATTAGAGACTGACATAGATACTTATACACGTTTAAATATATACTATAATTAACACTCATAGAAAGAGCAAACCTGTTAATCACACGAATGTTTTCCCGATGTGGGAATCGAACCCCCGACCCTCGGCGCAACAATCACAGGCGTAAACTATTGCACCACCGTGTCAATCAGGGAATGGAACGAGGAAAGATCTTCTACTGAAATATTGTCTTTGTTCGATTTTGTTCATGTCGTATACAAGCTTATAAGTGTCGATACGCGGTTTAGGTATTAACCGCATTTCTATTATATGATACGCCACCGCTATAACTCAAACGTAAAATAATATTATTGAAAAATAATAATAACAACAACATACACTACCTATCAATACCTCACATGTGTGCGATCCCGGTTGCCTCTTCTAACTTCTTCTTCTTTATGTTTTGGCTCCGGCACGGCTTGTGCATTAGCCAGCGTCAAGTAATAAGATTGTTTTTAATTATTTACAGTTTATGAATAATAAAAAACGAAGGAAACTTAATCAATTGGCATGAAATTAAATGAAATGAGATGATATGGAATGAAATGTAATCTTAGTAAAATGGTGGTCATTTACTGAGAATTTTTCAGTGAACTTTTTGGAGGATACCGAGTAGTTACGTTCAGCGGCTTTGTTTAATTTTCCCACATTTGTGCACCTTCACAGATACTAAACCATTAGTAAACCACCGTTATTACACATTTAAACCTGAAGAAACACCAAAAAGGCAAAATAAAATAAATCACACAAATTCACTCCTCGCGTTCCCGCCAAAAAGTCCTTGCTCCTATGTTCCGTTAAACCAGGGGCTCCCAAACTTATTTTGTATACTGCCCACTTTGAGAAATAATTATTTTTTAGAGCCCCCATTTTTTCACCTTCTTAAAAAGCCACTATAGCGAGAGCTCAGTCAGTGTCTAAGATTCCCTCCTAAATGAAATTACAAAACACCTCCCAAGCCTCTACACAACGCCCCTTTTTTTCTGGGTCTCTTACCGCCCCCCTTTAGGCCTGCAGCGCCCACAAGGGGGCGTTATCGCCCACTTTGGGAAAGGCTGCCTTGAAACATTCGTAGTGTGGATCTGCACGGTCACGTTGATGCGTTCTGATTGTTTCGGGTCAGCGTGTTCAGTGTAACGTGCCACGAGGGCGGTGCACGAATAAACAAAAGACAATTCCGACCTGAATGCGGCCACGAGAATCGTTTAGATTCATCACAGTGAAAATGTTATTCATTCAGTATTCTGTTGTAGCTTTAACTAAAAAAAAAACGTTTTAAAGAATATCGTCTCAACTGAGGTCGTACATTATACTGATATCGATTACTTTTTCGCCCTTTCAAATAAGTTTTTTTTCCTGCTCCCGCCTGTAATTTGCTAATGGTAGAGCTTGTTTACGGATGGATTTTTTGTTGTTGAAAAGTATATATCTATTTTTTTTATTCATATGCTAGCGGTCCGATTCCTATTGTACTTTTGTTGCGATGCATTCGTACGCACCGATGCATGGAAAATGAATAACACCAATGGTGTCAAAACCCAAACATGTTACAAAATGAATAACACCAATGGTGTTATTCATTTTGTAACATGTTTGGGTTTTGACAACCACTTCACAACGGGGGCTAAGCTCGTCGACTCGACTAAAGCAATAAATAAAATAAATAAATAATATATTAAACGTTGAAGCGAGCGAACTAGCTTTAATGATTATCTACTGTATCACATATTTTAGTTTTTCTTTTATTTTTTTTATTTATTTATTTGGGAAACCAACAGTACAAAATAAATTTATAATATTTAAAAAAATATCCAAAACAATAATCAAACATTTTTCCACCATCAAAACAGTGGAGAGAGAACAAAGAAAAAAAAGAGAAATTTAGAAATTTAAGTTTATTTATTTATTTATTTATTTAAGGATTACCGACAGGGTTTACAGTAAGACATAAAATAACATTGACATGTATAGAGCAATTGATAACTGCAACTCTAATTATAGGCAATCACAGCATGCATTACATTAACATATTAATAGAGATTTAACAATACTATAAATAATAATAAAAAATTAAAAACAGAAAGACAACAAGGACAGTAATACCCGAGTACTCAGACCAAGGCTGAGGCTGAGGTTCAACAACAACTTTTTATAATTTTGTTCTTAAATATTGGAAGGGAATCTCCAAATATGTCAAGGTTTTCAACTTTTCTAACTAGATTATTATAAAGGTTAGTTAGACGAGGAGTAGGTGAGTGCTTGCCTAGATTGGTTCTGCTAAAGCGGGTGCTGAAAAGAGCAACGGGGCGACAAGGTAACCTAGATGGCACCTTCAAAGAGAATTTATTGAGGATGGATTGGGAGTCGACAGTACCGCTCATAACTTGATGTAAAAAACATAAGCCTAACATATCGCGGCGATCACTCAATGTTTGCATTTTAAAATATTTAACCCTATCAACAATTAAGATTCAACATAATTAGGCGGCCTAAAACGGTACGACATGTGGCGAAGTAACTTTTTTTGAATTCTCTCAATCCTGTTAATATGGGTTTTGTATGTAGGACACCACACAGTGCTGCAGTAATCAAGTTTGCTTCTAACATAACTGTTGTAAAGCATTAGCGTAGTGGAAACCTTCTTAAACTCCCTACCATTCCTAAGTACAAAACCCAGTGGTTTGTTCGCGGCATCTATAATTTTGTCAATGTGCTTAGTGAAATTCAGCTTGGTATCAAGCTCCACCCCTAAATCACGAGTCTGAGAAACTTCACTCAAGCATTCCCCTGAAATATGATATTGTGTTGGTATTATATTGCGTTTTAATGTAAATTTTATATGTAGACATTTCGAAAACAAACACAAAAACACACAGTTTACACAAAAACAAACAAAAAAAGCAACATAATAAGCACGTATAATTATGTACATCAACTTACACTATAAAGCTTAATAATACTCATTGTACTAAATCACCTCATAAGTATTCCAAGTTTTATTTTTATTTTTCTAGGTAATGGATTCGGTGTCGGTGAGCGGGGGCGGGAGCTATGCGGGAGTGGGGGGCGCAGGGGGCGCGGGCCACTATGGCACGTACGGACACTACGGCGCGGCCGCCTACCCACAGCCCGCCTACATGGTCGATCCGGCCCAAGTACCGCCTTATATGGCACAGGTAACAGTGGCTCAAACAGCATCAGATTTTACATTTATTTATCGAGATGGGGTTGATAAGTGACAATCAACCCTGCTTTTTTTTATTGCTGATATGGGTGGACGAGATCACAGCTCACCTGGTGTTAAATGGTTACTGGAGCCCGTAGACATCTACAACGTAAATGCGCTACCCACCCTGAGATTTAAGTTCTAAGGTCTCACTTTAATCACAACGGCTGTTCCGCCCTTCAAACTGTAACGCATTACTGCTTCACGGCAGAAATAGGTGGTGGTGGGTACCCGTGCGTACTCACAAGAGGTCCTATCACCTGTCCTTGGTAAAACACTCGCTCAAAGGCCGGAATAATCTGTACCTCTATTTTCGTATAGTCTATTTTTATATATTTATTATAACAGAATAACAACAACTCTTTATCCTTAAATAAAGCCGTATACTAATGATGAGATCAAATACAAGCAGATCATCGGAGTGAAAAATTAAATTGTGTTATATTATTATTTTGGAAACTAAAATTACAATAAGAAATACTATAAAAAATTTAGTAAACTATCTACTGTCCGTGTACGGTCAAGAAAATATTTTTAAAATACATTGCCCCCTTTTGGGGGATTTGTTTTTAGGTGAATGTACATACACTTTTTTGTTAACACATACAAAAAACATACGCACATACATACATTCTCTTTTATATACATCTTACCCTTCTAATTCTAGGGAGTTAGTTAGAGTTAGTTAGGCGTAAGCGACTAGTTCAAATTTTTAAATATAACTTATAGAATATTATGTTAAAATAACTTTTATGCTAAATTACATCAATGGGAATTTGTTGAATGTCAAATTTCGAAAAATGAGGAACAGACAATGTTGCTTAAATATCATAACTGATTCACTCCAAATCATTTTTCGACTTTATGCAACATATACTTATAACTCTAAATTAGTTAGAAACATTGTTAAAACTGACAATATAAAGGTGTGGTGAACATTGATAAACCGTACAACTAACAGTGGGGATTTCATTCAAGCAAACATTAAATTACATTGAAACTCCTTACATATCGTTTATCATTTTATCGATAAATGACAAACGAATGTCAAAAACCAAAGATAAGATTAAGACTGTGAAGTAAATAGTAATTTTCATTGTTTACATTAGGAGTACGTCGAGGGAGGAGGTAGTGCGTCACCCAGGAGTGCTTCACCTGGTGCATTGCCGCAGCACAATCTACATCTGCAACAGAGGTAAAAAAAAAATTCAAGCAAAATAGAACCTTATTTATTTATTTATTTAACTGTGCCCGAGCGCTATGACATGTCCTTCTTCAAACGAGGCTTGTGGAAAGTATTAAGCGGTAGGCAGCGGCTTGGCTCTGCCCCTGGCATTGCTGAAGTCCATGGGCGACGGTAACCACTTACCATCAGGTGGGCCGTATGCTCGTCTGCCTACAAGGGCAATAAAAACAAAACCAACAATGTGATCATCAATACAAAACATTGACAAATTGACAGTAAGTATATGGCGGATGTTACTTCAATTATTATTATAGGTGCAATGGACAATGTCATGAAATTACAAAGGTTAAAATACAATGAGTAATTTCAAGAAATATGAAATCCAGAATAACACTGACAAAGCAACACAATATCTAATATCCACACTTATTAGAAAGTAAAGCTTGATTATTTTATATTATTTGTTTAATTATGATTAGGTTATATTTCGTTTGGAAATGATCTGCGTCTGATTTTTCCTGTATGTTGTAAGACAATTAGAAAAAAAACATCTATTTGTGATCTATCTGTGTTTGTTCTATTATCTTATTGTGACATTGCAAATTATCTACTAACTATTGATAGATTGATTTCCGTTTAATATTTTATTGCATATCTTATTAAGATATTTTATCTAAAAATATCTTTTTCCATAAAATATGGTTTCGTCTCTATGTTCTATGGTTTCCATTTGGGATTACGCCCTTGAACTTTTATATCAATCATATAAAGTTACCCGCGTAATAGATAAAACTAGAGGTCCCGCAGTATTTGAAATTCGACTATAATTAATTGGAATTGTAAGTTTGTACACTGTTAGGATTGTATTTTTTACTTCTATAATCACAAATTTCGCCAAGACTACACCATAAAAATATTAACAAAGACAAACAATTGAAATTAATAATAAATTAAAATCTCAATTTGACAACAGACGTCAAGAACAAAAGTTTGACAATAAATAGTATGCATGTGTGTGTGCGTCAAATACATGGTATGTAGTGTGTGTAATGTTTTCTTTATTGATTTAATGTATCTTTTATCCATTATGTAAAAAAAAAATTAGCATTGTGCACTTCTTCTCTATATTCTCTATAAGTTTGGAAAATTTCATACTCCTCCGTCCGCGCAATTTTCGTAAAAAGGGATACAAAGTTTTTGATTCACGTATTAATATATAGATAAAAAAAACATAAAAATAAATAAATATAGAAATGGATGTCATTAACGAGATACTCTGTGCAGGTACGACTCGGCGTCTCTGGAGCAGTTGGGGCGTCATTACTGCGTGACGTCACCGCGGGGCGAGTACGCAACGGACGCGTACGGCTATCAACACTACCCCGCCGCGTACGACCCGCCGCATCAACCGCCGCCCTTCAAGGTAAAGGGAAAATCAACTCCTATACACTATCTTTACTTCAATCATTTGTTTTGGTTTTTTTGTTTTTTTTTATTGCTTAGGTGGGTGGTCGAGCTCACAGTCCATCTGGTGTGAAGCGGTTACTGGAGCCCATAGACATCTACGACGTAAATGCGCCACCCATCTTCAGATATAAGTTCTAAGGTCTCAGCATAGTTACGTTACAACGGCTGCCCCACCCTTCAGGCCGAAACGCATTACTGCTTCACGGCAGAGATAGGTGGTCACATCTTGTTTGTGGTTACATACCTACCACCAGTATACATGATTTTTGGTCATTGATCAATAGAAAGGTTCAATTAGTGATCGGATCACCAAATGATTTGCTCGTTGCATTATTGTTTGGTTTGAAGTCAAAAGTCTTATACCATTGTGCTATGGGAGTTAATTCTCAATTTCAATATACAAACAGTAGGGATTAATGGATTTTTTACATGTCTCATGTAAAGAAAACATAAGGCAGTAGGCATCAGTAGGCAACGGCTTGGCTCTGCCCCTGGCATTGCTGAAGTCCATGGGCGACGGTAACCACTCACCATCAGGTGGGCCGTATGCTCGTCTGCCTACAAAGGCAATAAAAAAAAAACATAAACATTTGAAATTGTTTCAGGACTCACAAAACGGACTAAGCATGGGTAGCGCTGGAGGACAATCAATGTATGGAGACGAGGAGGAATTGCAGAAACAAATGGCTAGCATGGCTTTAGGTAAATAAAAAGAATCAAATGATATGGTAAGCTAAAGATTGCTTGAAAATTTCTTCTCAGTGGGCCGCGTTTCCGATCCGGTGGTAGATTCTGCGAAGCACGGCTCTTGCTAGGGTACGTGTTAGCAACGTCGTCAGGTTTGAGCCCCGTGAGTTTATCTACTAGTTCGGTGAATCTAGAATAACCCCTCGAGGTTAATAGAATAAGTGCTCTGAGGAATTGTTCGAGATGATACCGTCATCTTGTTTTTACCATCGCACCGCCTGCCACCGGAGTAGAGTTCATCCATACTACCTGGAGCCACTGCGGTCATCGACAGCGCGTTTCCAGAGATCTTTCTTGTCATGTACCATCCGGCTATGGAATGAGTTCCCCTCCACGGTGTTTCCCGAGCGCTATGACATGTATTTCTTCAAACGAGGCTTGTGGAGAGTATTAAGCGGTAGGCAGCGGCTTGGCTCTGCCCCTGGCATTGTTGAAGTCCACGGGCGACGGTAACCACTCACCATCAGGTGGGCCGTATGCTCGTCTGCTTACAACGGCAATGTAGGAAAAAATAATAATTTGAAAACTCTTTTAAATTACTTTAGAATTTTTGCAGCTATTGTTTTAATGCTGTGATTGTATATTCCAGTACACGGAGGTCGTGAAGACGGAGGCGGGCTGCAGTGGCGCGATCCGAATTTACCGGAGGTGATCGGCTTCCTGAACTCTCCGTCGGATGTCGTCAAAGCTAACGCCGCAGCCTATCTACAGCACCTGACCTATATGGACGACCCTAACAAACAGAAGACCAGAAGTTTAGGTATTATATGCTTTATAGTAATTGCAGTAAGGAATATATTTCTTTGAATGACTGATAAATAATGTTGATTATATTGTTTTTATTCTTAAAAAACATTTATACGCTTTAGTTTGGGTTTATTGTGAGGAGGCCACATATGAATTGATACTATCCGCTTATTTCCGCTGTAAATCATGTCATTCTGAACTATGTGGGGTGAGCGCCGAATGTCCTTTTTTCCATTCAGGCCTATCATATGTCATCTTGGTGAATTTTATTACTGGTTGTAGGACGTCTAGTAAGTCCGCATGGTTGGGTACCACCATTTTGCCTATTTCTGCCGTGAAGCAGCAATGCGTTTCGGTTTGAAGGGTGGGGGGGCAGCCGTTGTAACTATACTGAGACCTTAGAACTTATATCTCAAGGTGGGTAGCGCATTTACGTTGTAGATGGGTTCCAGTAACCTCTGGCCATCAGGCTGTGAGGCCGACCACCCGTCTAAGCAATAAAAATAATTTAAAATAAATAATAGTTTAAAAAACTAAAAAACACGCTTTATATAAAAGTCAACTAAAAATTGAAAATAAATTTTAATAAATTTAAATTGAAAATAGTGTAAAATATATTTTATTGTAAAAAAAAGCAAGAGGTGCATGGTGTTATTAGTTATAAATATTTTTCTGACAGAGATATGAGTGGAAGAATTATTATTTCAATAATATCTTAAAAAGCATCCCACGCTTTTTTTTTTTAATTAAATTTATTTTACACTATTTTAAATTTAAATTAATTAAAATTTATTTTCTATTTTTTAGTTGAATTTTATATAAAGCGTTTTTTTTAGTTTTTTTAAACTATTATTTATTTTTAATTTTTTAGAAAAATTTTCTATAAAAGCGTACTTTTAAAAATATTAAGTACTTTAATATCAATTCCTGCCTTATCGACCATAGATAAAAATTGTATAAATTGGCAAAAATCTTGAATAATGGAATAATCTTATCAAATTAGTGTATTGTCATCGGTCCTCGATAAATCTAAAAAGTTTGAATGAAATCTGGCCGTTTAAAGTGTGTCAAAATCGCGTCTAAAGGAGTCAGTTACAAACATACAAACATACGTACAATTGAAGCTAATATAAAGCGTGTAAAAAAGTACGTCATGTAATGTTGTGTGTGTTGCAGGCGGTATCCCGCCCCTTGTGCGGCTGGTGTCGCACGAGAACCCGGAGGTGTGTCGCAACGCGTGCGGCGCGCTCCGCAACCTGTCGTACGGGCGCCAGAACGACGAGAACAAGCGCGCCATCTGCGACGCCAACGGCATCCCCGCGCTCATGGCGCTCTTGTGTCGAGCCACCGACATGGAGGTTACATTATCTATTACTTACGTCACTATCCGCCCCTACTTGTCCCTATTCACCCACGCGTTGGGTGAATCGGGTCGCTTGAGGGGTTAATAGAGTTTTTCGATAAGGCTGGCACTATTTAGTTGTTACGTAGGTACCCAACTTTAGGTATTAACTATTTAATACCTTTAATAAGTTATAAAACTTTGATAACTAAATTAAACTATTTAATGTTCTTAAACATTAAATAAAAGCCAGTTTCAGCTCAACAAAGTTTCATCTAACAACTCAACAAAAGTATTGTGACATTCCAGACTTTTCATTATTCTACCTCTAGTTCCCATTCCCCCCAATCTACTGTAGTGGAAATTCTTCAATAATTAATTGACAATATAACTTTGAACATTATTAAGGCTCTATTGTCAAAGACTATAATTTTAATTCTATAGTCTGACTAATTCTATAATCACAAATTTCGCCAAGTCTACACTATGGACAAATAATATTAAAGATAAACAATATTCTCACTTTGACCACAGACTTTAAACACTAACAAATTTTTTACAATAAACGAAAGAGTATATATGCGTGTGTATGTCAAATACATGGTAGTGTGTGTAATGCTTTTTTTATTCATTTAATGTATTTTTTATGCATAATAAAAAAAATTGCATTCTGCACTTCTTCTCTATATTATCTATGAGCGTGGGAAATGTTATACTCCTTTGTCTGCGCAATTTAAAAAGGGGTACAAAGTTTTTGCTTCAGGTATTATCTAATATAATCTATATGATTATGTTTTGAAAAAAAAACCATAGAGTAGTTGTTAAAAAAATAAACCATAAAAACCACATTCCGATTTATATAATAAATGTATAAATTTTTGTTTTGATACAGGTTAAGGAATTAGTTACCGGTGTTATATGGAATATGTCATCGTGCGAGGACCTCAAGCAGTCGATAATCGATGACGCGGCTCAGGTCATTGTGAACAAAGTTATCATACCGCATTCTGGCTGGCATCCCACCAACCCTGGAGATACTTATTGGTCTACCGGTCAGTTTTGTGCTCTTAACAGGACTTTTTTTTGTTTTATTTTTTTATCCTACCTATATATCTATATCGCTATATCAGCCGAAAGAGTAGGTGAACTCATGGTGCTCAAACCAGGCGAAGTTGCTAACACTGACTCTAGCAAGAGCAGTGCTTTGCAGAATCTACCGCCGGATCTGAAATGCGACCCACTGAGAAGATCCGGCGAGAAACTCAGTGGGCTGTGTCTGTGGGTTAGTTTACTCGCCAAGCCCTTCGTCGTAAGCGACGGGTTCGACAGTAGCTAATATAAATCTTTGCCTTTACCGTTTTGGCTGAGTGTAAAAATAAATGTTTGTATTCGAAAAATTCTCCACGGATTTGCTGTGCTACATTTCTGTGCCTTTCAGATTTTAACCTCATGTCACACACGTAGGGAAGCGACATAGTTCATAAAAACATCGCTCTTATAGATCGATATAACATTTATTTTCATAACGATTAACTTAAAAATACAACTAGGATAACTCGGTACCCGGTTTTAATAACAACGATTTATCGCCTGCATCCCGAGTTGTAAGGAGCGTCGTTCACACTATAATGTTGCTTTTGATTACTCGACATACCTTTACCGTACCTCGAGTTATGAGGACGAAGCCTCAGTCGGATCTTGTAACGATTCCCAACTTATACTCTCTCTACTTATATTCATAGTAACTTAGCCAACCGTAAAGTTTTGAAATTGGTAGGTTGTTTGTTTCAATAAGCTATATAGGTCTGAGGTATCAGTTCATTTTTGAAAAGGGGTCACTTGCCTCAAATTTTCCAAAGCTTGTCCCAACCAAAACGCACAACAACATCAATACATGAATAACGATATCTGCTCGAAGTATTGTATTAATTGCCTTTGTAGGCAGATGAGCATATGGCCCACCTAATGGTAAGTGGATACCGTCGCTCATGGACGTCAGCAATGCCATAGGGCAGAGTCAAGCCTCTGCATACCATTAAGTACTCTCCACAAGCCTCGTTTGAAAAAGAACATGTCTCAGCCCTCGGGAAAACACCGTGGAAGGGAGTTCATTCCAAAGCCGGATGGTACGTGGCAGAAAAGATCTTTGGAAAGTCACTGTTAATGAACGTAGCGTTTCAAAATAATATGGATGAACTCTGCTCCGCGGGAGGTGCGATGAAAAAAAAGAGATGAGGGGAACGTCTAGAGAAATTCCTCAGAGCATTCTTTGTACTTTAGCCAAATATGTGTGAGAGTAAGGCTAAGTTCATATGACGGTACGTAATTCCGCACGGTACAAGATCAATCTAAACAGTGTTTAATGTTCACATAATCTTCTAGTACTTGTCAGTTCTACAAAACGGTATCGACCGTTTTCAACGCATTCATATAAAAAAAAACAAAAGATGCAACTGACATCTTAAAGTAGTTACAAAAAATTCTTCGTGTAGTCTCCAGGTCGGGATATAAAGTTACAAAAGAAAAGTTTTTCATTTAAAATAGGATTGCCCCCAGTATCGTCTTTGTCTTCTTCTCCGACGTCTCAGTTTTCTGTATAAAATCCATAAGCAAATTGCCCCTTTTCCACGTCCATTCTCCAATGTTGACGCCAGACTGTCGCGCGTACATATTCTGTCATGTGAATGCTTCCACCGCGCGATCATATGAACTATTACTGGTGGTAGGACCTCTTGTGAGTCCGCGCGGGTAGGTACCACCGCCCTGCCTATTCCTGCTGTGAAGCAGTAATGCGTTTCGGTGAAGGGTGGGGCAGCCGTTGTAACGAAACTTGAGACCTTAGAATATCTCAATGTGGGTGGCGCATTTACGTTGTGGATGTCTATGGACTCCAGTAATCACTTAAAACCTGGCTGTGAGCTCGTTCAACCATCAAAGCAATAAATAAATAAATCTAGAATGAAATTTAGCAAATATAAAAACAAATTTTATCATATGGATACACTGGATTGGTGTAAATATGCAAATAAGATTTTTGGTACTGTAACTAACTTTTTAATGTAAACTAATAAAAAAAAAATGTGTACATTCAACATTAATCCATAGAGGTCCTGTGCTAGACACAGACCTACCCCAGGTTGCGCCACAATTACGGAACCTGCGCAAATTAAGCAATAAAAAAAAATCGGTTGTCTGTAAAGTCGGCTCCATCGAATTATAAGACGTTGTCACGTCAAAAAAAAACGTAGCCTAAGCGAGTGCGTGTTGTTAGTATTCCGCAACGCGTCGGGCGCGCTGCGCAACGCGTCGAGTGCGGGCGAGTACGCGCGGCGCCGCCTGCGCTGCCTGGCGGGGCTGGCGGAGGCGTTACTGCACGCGGTGCGCACGGCGCTGCACGTCAACGCGATCGGCACCAAGGTCGTCGAGAACTGCGTCTGCGTGCTACGGAACCTCTCCTACAGGTACGGGCGGCTTATTTCTGTACCTGTGTTTCTGATGTACAGGAGAAAACAATGTGTCATCCATTCCCGATCCTGCGGAAAGAATGGAAAGCAGTTGACGTCGCCCCAAACACGTTATTTCGGATCCTCCCGATCCACTAACGGTGCTTTTAGGTACCTCAAGCACCGGTCATCGTTCTCGTCGAACCCGTCGCTTGCGACGAAGGGCTCGACGAGTAAATTAACCCTCAGACACGCCCACTGTGTTTCTCGCCGGATCTTCTCAGTGGGTCGCGTATCCGATCCGGTGGTAGATTCTGCGAAGCACGACTTGCTAGGGTTCGTGCTAGCAACGTCGTCAGGTTTGAGCCCCGTGAGCTCACCTACTAGTTAAGGTTCCGTTGAAATAGCCTCTCAAGGCTATCAGCTTAGGTAGGAAAAAAAAATGTGTCATCAACTCACACTTGTCCACAGCTGGACATGGTTTCTCGTAATAATTTTGAACCCGGTAGAACGATTTTCATTTTGTTTATTATTTTGTTATTATTTTTATAACTTATATGGGTGGTCACGGCAAACTTGATGCTAAGTGGTTACCGGAGCTCATAGACATCTTCTACAACGTAAATGCCGCCAAACACCCTGAGACATGAGTTGTAAGATCTCACTTTTAACAGTACAACTGCTGCCTCACCCTTCAAACCGAAACGCATTACTGCTTTACTGCGGAAATAGTATAAAAATAATAAATGTTAAATATTATATTGGTATATTATTTATATGTAGCACTGTTGGTCAAGTCTATGTAAGATCATCGGCCACATCTAGTCCACCAGCTTTGTGTAAATTTTAATCATTTATGAATAATGTAAATTTATATAAATTTTGTCATGAAAATCAGTTAATAGTTACTTTTTTCCATTTCAAATGTAATAAAATCTCTCAATTAAATTAACACTAGCTTCTAATGATATCTTTATCGATAAACTTGACAATTTATGTATTTCTGATGACAATGAAATAACGTAGTGCCAACAATCGGATCTAATAATGAACTTAGAACAGCTCTAGCTTAGTAACGCTGAGGCTTGAACTGATCACGCTTTCTTTCCAAAATTTCTCACAAAGAAATTTTCGTAACGTTTTTAAATTGTCATGTTAATTTGCTTCGAAGATGTCAAGAAATCGAAGACCCCCTGTACGACACTCGAGCACCTCCCACACAGTCGTCGGGACAAGCCAGGATACAGGCCAGCGCTTCGAAAGGTGAGGTTATTCTTGTTTCACCATCGGTTGCTTTACACCACGGTCGGTCAGATTTCAAAAACTGTCACCAATAAAACCAGCTTTACATTTATCGATGAACTTACACCACAACACTAGTAACATGTAACTGAACAATTGTGTAAATGTCTCGAAAAAATATTAGACTAGAACGGAGAACTGTTTTTGTTTTATTTTATTGCATAGTTGGATGTTCGAGCTCACGGCCCATCTATTGTTAAGTGTACCTATATCGGAGCCCATAGACATACATCAATATGAGAATACTTGTAATAACGGCTTTCCTAACCCCTTTGAACTGGAATGCATGGTTGCTTCTCAGAGAAAATTGTCGGGTGCTGGGTACTCATTACAAGCCCCTATCACCAGTAATTTCGTAAAAATGTTTTTTTTGAGGGTTTGTTTTTTATTATTCGATTTTTTTCGCGGAAACATCATTAATACATATTTCTTAGAGCACTTGGTATCTGTCTGTAGGATCCGAACATTGGCACAGTTGCATTGCTCGATACTTTTGCACCGGACGCTTTATCATGTAGGCCACGACGACTTGAAATGAAGTTAATTGCCCTTTTTATTTGAAAGAATGAATGAACTTAATCGTATTCGTTCGTATTCATTTTAACTTGAACTCACAAAAGCTTGCACGTATTTAGTGTTGTGTTTTCCGCAAGGAGAAAACCTCGGCTGTTTCGGAGGAAGTAAAAAGAAAAAGGAAGGTTCTTCGTCGTCGAACTCGACCAGTCCACTCGGGAAGTCCGAGCCCGAACCGCAGCCCGTTGAGAACAACACCCAGCTCGGTTACTCCGTACCCAAAGGAACGGAGATGCTCTGGTCTCCGGAGGTACGTGCACATCTTACTGTGGCTAATGGCGTTAAGTGGCTATTAGACACGCATTCCGGTCATCGTCCTCGTCGAACCCGTCGCTTGCGACGAAGGGCTCGGCGAGTAAATTAACCCACAAACACACAGCCCACTGAGTTGCCCGATGGATCTTCTCAGTGGGCCGCGTTTCCGATCCGGTGGTAGATTCTGCGAAGCACGGCTCTTGCTAGGGCTCGTGTTAGCAACGTCGTCAGGTTTGAGCCCCGTGAGCTCACCTACTAGCCTGGTGACGGTGACATGGTCTGTCTAGACCAGTGGTCGGGGAATTTTTTTAATTATTACCCCAAAATATTTTTGTGTAAGTTGATATTACCCCATGGCGAAAAACAAAAACAAAAAACGAAATCGCTTCTTTTAAGTATCTTTCATATTATAGCCCCCATGATAATTTTGAAAAGAAAACAATAATTAAAAATTTTACAATTCTACAGAAGTTTCACTTCAATGTATACTTTTTACTCACAAAATTTACATTTTAACCCCCCAAAATTTCATTTTACTCCATTTGGGGTAAATTACCCCGGTTCCCCGACCGCTGCTCTAGACCATCAGCTTAGGTAGGAAAAAACAGACACTCTAATATAACGCACCTTGAGATATGAGGTTGAAGTTCCAATATGCTCGCGGCGCGAAGCCGGTACGACGTCTTGTCCTTGAGAGAGAGTGAGAGTGAGCGTGTCCTTGCAGGTGGTCCCGCTGTACATGGCGCTGCTGCAGACGTGCTCCAACCCGGAGACGCTGGAGGCGGCGGCCGGCGCGCTGCAGAACCTCGCCGCCTGCTACTGGCAGCCCTCCATCGACATACGCGCCGCCGTCAGGAAAGAAAAAGGTACAGGACTCGCGCCGAGATGTCCAGCCAGGCGCCAGGCTGGCGGGCCATAATGTTGTCGAATAGGGCCGAAAATCCAAATGTCATTAGAAATGTCTATGTAACGGTAGGAAGCGGCTTGGCTATGCCCTTAGCATTGCTGAAGTCCATGGGCGATGGTAACCACTCACCATCAGGTGGGCCGTACGCTCGTCTGCCTACAAGGGCAATAAAAAAATTAAAAAAAGATGTGACGCGCGTCAGTAGTATTCCGTGCTTTAAAAATCTTAATATACGTAATACTTTTGTCCGTGTGTATGTTAGTGAACTCCTAAACGGTTTGATTTGAGAATGTTTTAGATTCTCAAATCAAACCATAAAATTTCTGGATTTAAGATTAGGAAAACGTCTGTCGAATCCGCTATTAATTTTATATTTCATCATCTTTGTGGTTTTGTTGGATCATAAAATATTTAAACGCGATTTTTTCGTAAATCTTTAATCGTCGTAACAAATGTATTCGGACAGGGTTACCGATCCTGGTGGAACTGTTACGTATGGAGGTGGACCGCGTGGTGTGCGCCGTGGCCACGGCTCTACGTAACCTGGCCATCGACCAACGCAACAAGGAGCTGATCGGGAAGTACGCGATGCGCGACCTCGTGCAGAAGCTGCCCAGCGGGAACCAGCAGCACGATCAGGTGAGGGAATAGCTTCTTTTAGAGCTGGAGCCCATAGACATCTACAACGTAAATGCGCCACCCACCTTGAGATAGTTCTAAGGTCTCAAGTATAGTTACAACGGCTACCCTTCAAACCGAAGCGCATTACTGCTTCACGGCAGAAATAGGCGGGGTGGTGGTATCTACCCGTGCGGACTCACAAGAGGTCCTACTACCAGCAAAAATAAATAGCATAGCGAGCATATTGGAACTTCGTCCTCATATCTGAAGGTATAATAGCCGGCAAACTTCTTGAGCATTTGTCGACGTAGTGGGGGTAAGTTTGCGCATGGTACACTCACGTGCAAAAACATTATTTACTCTACGTCATAATGCAATTAAATTATTAAAATCAACATATGTATACATATATATATTTATCAGAACATCAACAAAAAATATAGGTTAATAATTGTAATAATTTAATCTTGGGGTAAAATAGATATTCCTTCTATTAAGTCAAAACTAGAGCTGTTGCCAGGTCTTGGTTCAGTTGAAGCGAAGCTGGTATTTGTAATTTTTTTTTTCGTTATCATAATCTTGACCATCATCATCACTGTTTTTATCACCCGAGTTGCTATCATCGTGATGAGTCGACATAGGGATCATCGGTGTAGTTTACAACTCGGTCGGTTCTGTCTACTTTTTTGTCTATAATTAATTATTTTTTGAAGATATTCGATACGTAGTAATCGAATGTAACTTTTTTCAATTACCAGTTTCCGATTATTTTCTGTTTTTTTTCCATCTGAAGCCTAGCTCTTTCATAATTCGTCGTAAGCTTCATTCCGAGCCATTAAAATTTATATCTTCTTTAAATTTTTCGAAGCCTTTCTACGGTACGGAGTTTCGCTGCTTGTTATGTAGTTATTATGATTACATCTTTTTATTACAGATTGAACGAAACTATCCATTCCGGTAACTTTCTTCTTCCCTGATCTTTTCTTACCCGGAGTCCGAAACACGGCGAGCAAGCCAGAGCCTTTAGCTTCGTTAATAATGCACCTAACAGTACTCACTGATGTTTTTGTTGCTTCCGAAGTCTGTTTTACTTTTTCCATATCATTCTTCCCCTGTTTTATAATGAAGCAATATACGTCGTACACAATTTTTCTACCCTTTCTTTTGAATACTACACCAGTTTGTCGCAGCATAGTGTATTTTTTTATAAAAAATCAACAAACACTCAACAAATAGCAATGGCAACAAAGTCAACAAACAATTATAACAAATAACTTAACGATTAATAACGATAGATTTTTCACTGTACGCAAGCGTACTTTTGGGAGCAAGCGGAACGAAGGCGCGGTGCGGGACGAAAGGTTCGACTGATCTACCAATAACGCGCTCGATACGATTTCCCCTGCCGTCGCGCCTCACCCTCACCACCAAAGTGATCTAAAATTCGGTTCTGCGCAGTCAAGGTCATTTGCTCAAGAAGTTTGCCGGTTACTATACGTTAAGTAAGAGTGTCATGGGAAATGAAAGATATATAATGTTATTAAAAAGTAATAATAATTAATTATATATTTAGTTTGGTTTGTTACTAAACCACGTTTTTTTTAGTATATGTCTCTAAAAACTAATCATTTTTTTATTGGTCGTTTATGAGTATAATGAAATTCAAAATATAACATATAAAGTGTCCTTGCTTGTATGGAAATTTAAAAGATATCACTCCGGTGTTCTAGACTTTTCTCACACAATTGTTAATGTAAAGATCGCCTAATAAAGGTTAAATTAAAGTTTAATTTAACGAATCCAGGGTACTTCGGACGACACAATAGCCGCCGTGCTGGCGACCCTCAACGAAGTGATAAAGAAGAGCGGCGAGTTCTCGCGGTCGCTGCTGGAGGCGGGCGGCGTGGAGCGGCTCCTCAACCTCACCAAGCAGCGCCACCGGCACACGCCCAGGGTCCTCAAGTTCGCAGGTCACCAGCCAAAACTTATACGACTCTCCGTAAACGCATTACTGGTCGTAGGACCTCTTGTCGTGGTCGACCACGACCTAAGTCGTCGTGGCCTAACGGATAAGACATCGAAGACGGTGTTCGAATCTCAGCTGGGTACCAAATTACCACTGGATCGGAAACGCGACCCACTGAGAAGGTCCGACGAGAAACTCAGTGGGCTGTGTTAATTTACTCGCCGAGCCCTTCGTCGTAAGCGACGGGTTCAGGTACTTAAAAGCACCGCTTATACGACAAGGGATGATGATCAAGAACCAATGACAAATTCAATAGGGAGGTGCGAAAATTATTTCAACGCACGAGTTATTCGAAATACGAAGCGTATAATTATTTATTAGTTTTGGATCACTACTGTAGATGTTGTTACCAATTGTGACTTCAGTAATAAAGAACTAATACACAGTAATAAAAACACCGTTTATTCCGTAAGATGGTACATGTGTTTACATAAAGACCGGCGCCGGGCAACTGGTGCAGTGTAATGCAATAACTGCATGCGCAAGCGCTTACGTGTCCCTACAATATTCCCCCCCTTAAAAAATTTTTGTTACAATTATATAAAATTTTTAAGTTTAAAATTATACAATATATCTATATAATATATAATCCTAGTAGTTAGCAACGCACTGTGTCACAGCAGCGGGTGCCGAGTCATCGGTAATGTAATGCGACGAGTTGCACGAATCGCAAGTACAAACTACGTTCACAAGAATTATTACGTAAACAAAACATCGTTAACAATAACATACTTCGTACAATTGCCTCTCTTTTGGGGCATTAGGTATATAAATGCTTAATAAATAAAATAGAGTTAGTAATAAACACTTCAAATATAATCACATATAATCACACTTTAAATATAACCAGCCGTATCAGTTGCGTTGGTGGCGGGCTGCTGTTGCACAGTTTGTATCCTGACTACAGGTGGATTGACGTGCCCCACCGTGATTTCCTTTTTTAGCCAGTTTCTGATTTTCCGATGGCAGTGAATCCGCATTCCGTAGCACAGAATTACTGATAATAGTACCGCAATAACTATAAGCACTATACCAAAATTATTGATCTTATTATCGAGATGTCCGGGGACAACTTGCGCTTGGGCAATAGCAGTATTATCTTTGCTCTCGTTGATACCCATTGTGACTAATAGACTGATTCACAAAACTAATAAACAATTACTGTATAAATTCCAAATGTGATCTGCTATATAACAACTAAAATGCTAAGTCAGAATTTGACCTACATACTCGTAATAGGTACACGTATGACGTGCGATGCGATTCAGGTTGAAATTGTACACGTGAATTTCAACATAATTGAATGCAACTTTATAAAACAACGCTTGGTGCAAGTACATACTCAACAATATATTTAGGTATCTAATAAATACTACACATAACATAACTACATNCTCCTATGAGTCTTTCAATTTGTCGACTTTTGGACTCCTCAAATGTTGATAATAATTTCGTTTTTAGCGCCAGAAATTTTCCTGTGTCCGGTGGCTTAGCTAGAAAATCTGTTAGTTGAATAATGACTTCTTTTGGTAGTTTCGATACGACAATGTCGAATTTAACTTCATCCCCAAGTTTCTGTGGGGCGAGTATAGACTCGATCCTAATGTACCATGCTCTTGGTTGCTCTGTCCAAAATTCTGGTATACGTGTCGATAGCGAGATCGCCATAATGTCCGCTGAAGTCTGCGACAATGCTAGTTGAGTTGCCGGAACTCCTGGTGTCGTCATTATTAATCACAATTTTCGTTTCATATAAATCACGTCGGGGTCACCACTTTAGGATCACTACTGTAGATGTTGTTACCAATTGTGACTTCAGTAATAAAGAACTAATACACAGTAATAAAAACACCGTTTATTCCGTAAGATGGTACATGTGTTTACATAAAGACCGGCGCCGGGCAACTGGTGCAGTGTAATGCAATAACTGCATGCGCAAGCGCTTACGTGTCCCTACAATTAGTATTGCTGAATTGTTGAAATTCGACAACTGACACACTATATTTATTTATTTATTATTATTATTATTTTATTGCCTTTGTAGGCAGACGAGCATACGGCCCACCTGATGGTGAGTGGTTACCGTCGCCCATGGATCTCAGCAATGCCAGGGGCAGAGCCAAGCCGCTGCCTACCGCTTTATATATTCTTTAAAAAAAAATTAAAAAGATAAACAGAGTTGAGAGTGGGTATTTAACAATTTTGTCTTTGCCTATTAATACAGATTCTCTTCACTTAGATTCGACGTGAGTGTTCTTCGCACATCCCTGCCCTACCCAACCTACGTGATACTTAGATGCGTCTGACTGGGCTTTTGCTCGCCCTCCTGTTCTGGTGAAACTGGAAAGGCCTCTGGGCCACCAGTAATCCTTCAATCATAAAAAAAAAACATAGATGCGTACAATAAGTCCCGGCCGAGCTGAAGTCCCCGTGCTGTTCCAGGTCAAGTGCTGATGACGATGTGGTCCCACGCGGAGCTGCGCGAGGTGTACCGCAAGCACGGCTGGCGCGAGGCCGACTTCCTGACGCCGGCGCGCGCCGCCCAGCAGAGGTCGTCCTCGGGCAGCAGCGGTTAGTGTTGCCTTACATCTGTACGAGAGATTCGATCAATTCGAAAACTGGATATTCATGAGTGAAGCTTGCATTTTTATAATAAGGAAATTTTGTCTATGAAGAAAATTAGCTTCAATTTGACATATAATTAAGAAATATACATTATAAACGTATAAATTTCTCGAAATCATACCTGTTTACACTGTGATTTTTTTAGAATCTTCATATAAATTAACGTAATGTAGACGTTACTTTATTAAAAAAATAAATAAACGAAATTTCTTACCAAAAATCAATTAAAAATAATTTAATTAAAAATAATGGCGGCCAAATTTTATAGGCACCCTAGTAAATATATATTCTTCTAATAAATAAACATAAAAATTTGGTTTTAGGCAAAAAATCGATGAACGCACCAATCCTGCAGCGGGATCTCGTACTAATTAGCATTTTCTAGCGTTTTCATTATCGTTAACCGTTTGACTGCTGTGTGGGTCACCGGTGCCCTACGCGGCGCCCTGAAGTAGTTATATTGATTTCTGTAATTAAGCGTCTAGATTGCCTAACTTTGCCTTCTTATGATTCATTCTCAGTATCTTCGAATTCGCCTTTCCCGGAGTCTACTAGATATTTTGGTGCCTAAGTAATAAGATCGAAAACGAAAATCGAAATAAATATTTCGTGCGCCACGTAGAGCTTCGGTAACCCAAAAGGCAGTCAAAGGATTAATTAACTCAGAGCTTAAAGCGTCCGCTCCTGATCAAAGTTCGAATGAGTATCTTACTGATTCATTTAATAAGTAAATGTACAATTCGATCGAAATTCAAAGATAAAATTTAAAAGATAAACTCATTTTGTTGTTGCGTTGAATGTTATATTAACACACTCAGTCTTTCGTAATTGCAGCTTTATTCATGAAATTCACTGTGTATGTACATATCGATGTTACGTGTACATTTGTGTATATGTTGTGTATAAATGTGTGCATTGTGTATAAATGTTTGTTGAGCCGTTTCAGTCTTGTCTTTTTAATCGTAATCAATCGAATGTATCGTCAATTGTTAAATAATTCGTATCGAAATATTTACTATATTAAAAATATTAATCTTGCATACATGCATAAGCGTAATGGGTTGAAATTGAATTATAGACTTTAATTGACTGTGATGATGAAATTAAATTAAGTCTCAGTATAATTGTGGTTATTTACTGAGTGGAAAGTCCTCAGTGGACTTTTAGGAAGAACTCGAGATACCACTACCAGTGGCTTTGTTTCATTCTCCCATATTTGTGCACTTTCACAAAGATGTTGAACGATTGATGAACCAACGTTATTACACATTCAAACATTGAGTTTACAAAATGAAACAAAATTGACACAACTTCGCTCCTTGGACTCCCGCTATAATGAACAAAATTAGAAGTCTAGAATGTAACACCTTCCATTTTTAAAATTCCAAAATGTCAGTATGGAATTACATAAATTGAAATAACATTACACTATCTCAAACGAGACAAGATTGAAACGAGCCATGTATATATTTGATAACACAGTTTTTCATACAATAACCACTCCAAAGATAAAGAAAAGTATTGATTTTGAGCCATTCAAAAATATTATTATTAGTTTATTATAGTTCTCTGTAAAATTTGCCAATACTAGTGGTGGAGTTCGTTGTGAGGAGACAGAAGGATTGATAGTCCCTTATTGTTATATAGTAGATGCTATATAGCAATCATATTTTCACGTTTGAAATATAAGATAGTTTTCTATCAATGCAATTTGGTGTCTAATGGTCAAAATCTATTATTGCATGAAATGATTTTTTTTATGAGCGTCATTGATGAGACGAACTTAAGGCCTAACCGGTATTAAGCTGTCATCAGAGCTCACAGACGCCAGAAAAAGTGAACGCCACCTCGCTGAAGGCAATAAGGACGAAAATCGCAATTTCACTGGAACAATTACTATTCTGATTTCGTTTTCTCGAATTAAAACTGTATAATCTCAAAACTTACTAATTTTACAGGAGAGTGTTTTAAAGGTTTAACATGTGATATTTTTAATATGAATCATCTTTGCAACGTTGATTTTTTATTTTTTACCACTTACATTCACTTACGTCTTTTAAGGTAGGATGAAATTATGTATTAATTTTGTTAATAGTAGTCAAAACAAGTAAGCTAAAAAAAAAACTAAAACTAAACTATGCTCTTTTGAGAGTATTTATGAGAAAAATACTGGTGATGATACCAAATGATTCCGCATATTAACTCAATTTTGAATATTTTTGGAAATTTTACACTTTTAATGCGAAAAGACGATTTACGAATTCGAATGTATAATTACACTAGAAATAGTTTGGTGTTAACAATTCGTATCAACTCCTCACACGCTCTTACACTAGTAGTTGACAAAATTAAGGCGAGAATATCGTAAAGTTCATTGAACTGGGTATAACCCGGTCAGATTGTGACGTTTGGTTATTGTACGTTAATCGTGTGATCGTCGTGTGTAACGTGTGTGGGGCGCGCAGCGGGTCCGGGGGCCGCGTCGGGTGCGCCGCACTCGCCCGGGCACGCCAACAGCACGCTCAGCCGGCCCATGGCCTCGACCGGCGGCACCAGATACGAGGACCGCACCATCCGCAGGCATCGCGAGGTACCCCCACTCTAACTCACCCATCTAAAGGCTTCGTCAAACAGAACGCGTACTTAGCGCGCGTCAGAGCGCTAAACTGACGGTGCGCTATGACGCCGAGATTGGTTGTACTACTTTGGTAATAAACTGTGAAACAGAGCGCCAGCGCGTACTACGTGACGCTCTGTCGCGGCGTTAGGACGCTCTGACGTAACTTTTTACAAATTTTATTTTAGCGTCCGAGTGAATGTGTATTAAAATACTGGATAATGCCCGAAAAATTTATAGAATTAGTTAGAAAATACTTATGCATCTGAATAACTTGACATCTTATTACCTTTAAATTTTCACACTGCTATAGAAAGGCACTATGATTTGGCGGATGTTACGTTGCGTCAAGGAGCGTTGGACTCATCTAGTCAATTTGTGTGACATGAAAAGAGCGCGACGTTAAAACGCAACGCTAAGTACGCGTTCTGTTTGACGAAGCCTTTACTCACCCATCTAACCAAACCGACCCGTATTGATACTTTTAGCACGGTCGATCGATTTTGCTATTAATCCCGCACGATCGCTCACCGCCGGGCCGTGACTTGACTTGTAACTATACTGAGACCTCAGAACTCATATCTCAAGGTGGGTGGCGGCATTTATATTGTAGATGTCTTTGGGCTCCAAATTTGAAAACGACCCCAACGCGGTTAATCTGAGCAATTTACCAAAACGCTATACATCGATGCTACATACATTACGGCTTTGTAGATCGCAAACTCGCAAGCAGCGTGGAGTCTTCTCTACTTCAACCACACTGGCTCGTACAACTGTAGCGTAAATGATTTGGGTCTGCTCTGTGTTTCGATAACTTAGTGTTAAACACTTTAAAATGAATCCGACTAGCATAACACATTTTCATTTTTTTTTCGGGGTAGTTTTCACTTTTATATACATATCGACGCTTGAAAGGCAAATATGACTAAGCGACAATGCGTGAACTTTACAGTAGACTAATTTAAAGTTGAAATACCCGAAAACAAAATTTATTTTAACGAATCTAGCTGTAGTAGAATCTAGCTAGTAGCTGTAGGATTGAAATGATTTTAATAGACCTAGAAATATATTTTTTTTGCGCATCGAATATGGTTATTGCCTATCATTTATGTACAAAGCAGTTATTGTCGCTTAGTCATGTTTCCTTTTCAAGCGTCGATATGTATAAATACATTTAGTAATTTATTGCATTGTAATTTATCACCCAGGCTAATTCGAGATTAATATTGCCAACAAGAATACGGTTCCAGAATATGGTTTTGTAAAATAATTGTTCCTGAAAGCTATTGTGTTGTGTTCGCGCTATGTTTGTTTCGATTTACTGTATCCTCATTCATTTGCTTAAGATCATATTAAACACAAAGGTGATGCTTTTTTTAAAATCATATTTATGAAAAATGTGTAAAGAAATGACGATGAATCATGTCTATAGTAACATTTAAGTATAACTAAAAGTTTGTATGTTTAAATATTTTTTTGTGGAAGCAACTTAATTTTTATCTGGATAGGATGTTTTTGTTATGACAATAATCGTAACCCAGGCATCGCTATGTATATTAGCTATACGACAGTTTGTTTCGCTGCTTCGTTCAACAACCGATCTATAAATGGACCTGAGAATGCAAGTCAAGCAATTCTATATTCCGGGAAAATGTAATGAACTTAATTATTTCTGAATTATAAGTGTAAAGTTGTTAAAACCGAGAGGAGACGTGTGGCCGGGTCTGCTAGTCTATACTAATCTATACTAATATTATAAAGAGGAAAGATTTATTTGTTGGTTTGTATTGAATAGGCTCCGAAACTACTGACACAAACCGATTTGAGATTTTTTTTCACTATTTGGAAGCTACACTATTCCCGAGTGACATAGGCTATAATTTTTTTTTTAATATTAGCGATCCTTACTAAAACAGCAATAATTTAACCCAAGGTGTAAAAAAATCATCTAAACTATTGATGATAGAATAAAATAATGTACTACGACTTTGTAGAACACACATTATTATTTACAAAAAAATCTTTTTGTTTCTAACTATTATAGTTATGCCGCAATAAGTATTCATTTATATAAAAAAATAAAACGACGTCAAATATCGTTGAAATTTTTTTTAAAGACCCGAGCGGAGCCGGAGCGCTTTGCTAGTTTCCATTGAAATGATCGAACACTATGTTTGTTTTTTGTGTAATTTTGTTTTCCTTTGCTCAGAACGATGACGTGCCGCCGATGGATGCGAACAACTACCAAGAGGGGATGGGCATGGGCAATCCGAACGGCCGGCCAATGAACCTGCAGGGCGTGCAGGCTCAGATGCCAATGCCGCCCAGCAGTCGCTAGCTACACCTAACGTCTGACGATTCACAGCGATGATCATATCAGGGAATCGAGAGAATATTTTTGTGTTTCATTCAAATTTTATTGACAAGCTACTGACAGGAGGAATCAATATAGAGATGATAAAGGTGTGTCCAAACATAGAGCGGCAGGCGCACGGCAGTAACACTTTACTGGTGGTAGGACCTGTTGTTAGTCCTGTTGAGATCTTAGAACTTATATGTCAAGGTGGGTGGCGAATTTGCGTCGTAAATGTTTATGGGCTCCAGTAACCACTTAACACCAGGTGGGCTGTGAGCTCGTCCACCCATCTAAGCAATAAAAAAAAACGCGGCATTTGCAGGACACGGCACAAGCGAAACACGCGGCGCTCTTCATTTGATATCAAAACTAAAATGAAAGCGGTTGCTTATTATTATGATAATCCTTATGGCGAGGATCCCGTAACTCATTGAAAGAGCCATATATATCAATGAAGCGAACTGATGTTTCAATATTTATCTTTTTGTATGTGTGTATACACGTCCAGACACGATCAACGACCAATACACAAACCTACAAAATATGTTCGCGCGTGGCAGACGTCCGATCTATGTTCGTACACACCCTTATGTGTTGTTGTGTTCCTAATATAGAATATTTAAATTTTATTGACAAGTCAATTGACAACAGCAACAGTTATCTGCCAGGAAAAGGGAAAAATAATTTTAAATTCGAAAGCAAATATTGACTTTAAATCGTCTTATACAATATGAGTAGCACACTAGAACTACCGGTTGTATTTGTTTTCACATTAAAACACCACATTAGATATTGCACGATCTAAGATTTTCCAATATAATCATCAATATGAATCGTAACGAATATAATATATTTATTAGGCTTTGTGAGAATTACATCATTAAACAAATAAGTTTCACTATATAATTTAAAGTATTCTTACAAAGCCAATAGTTGTAGTATGACATTATCTGCACGAGTATTTATGTTAAGAAAAAAGAAGACAAAAGTAGCTCCTTCAGTGTTGAAATTTAGATGTGAATTTAACGTTCAAGTGTACAGTTATCAACAAAATACGAAAATGAAAAAAATATAAAAATAATACTGGAATCATCAATTTCTGTTTTTGTTATTAACATATTTATACACTTTCAATTTGTAAGAAGGTATTGTTTTTATTTTTTAAATTAAATTAATATTATTTAATTTCTATTTCGGATTAGTGTCGGTAACTGTACATTTTTTTTTTAAATGTAAACGTTTATAGGCCTAAATACCGAAATGTATTTCATTTCAATTCGGCCATCATTAATATATTAATTACGTTTTGTATATTATCATGTCAATTCCCTTGTGTATATAGTTGTGCCATCTTCTGTATTAATATAATAATAATAATAATACTAATAATAATAATAATAAAGTTTTTTGTAGTTGTTGTGACGTATCTATGTCTAAATAAGTAAAACGTCTTTTTTTTTATCCATATATATTTTTTGCCACGGACGTACGGTTCAGTGTTCGTAATGAAAAAGCTAATATTTGTATTGGAATTTGCGAAATGTATCGTGTTTTTTTTATTAAATTAACAATGTATACATTCTAATAAATAAATATCGGTTGTATATAGAGAGGTGCTGACAAACGCAATCCATCAAAGAAAATCGATAATAATGATAAAGATCGAAATTCACTCTTCTTCTGAACAGCAAACTGAATAATATTAATTTATTGGGAAACAAACAAAGAATGAATTGAAACACTATATAAATGTAAATAAATGATTCCTTAAATTAGATCCGGCACAAGTACACTATATACAATCGATATTGTAACGATCAAAGATTACAATTGAAATGCATCAAGCACTGGTGATGTAAAAAAAAAAATACATTATAGATAACCACGATTTGAATATTGTAGCATTGTCTAATTTGTATGCCGTAAACTATTATTTACAAAAAAATATCTAACGTGAAAATTATTTCTTGGATCGTTCGATAGAGGAATGATTTGCTGACGTTTCTATCAGGTTGAATGGGTAGTCAAATGACCAGAATATTTGTGTCGGTCTTACGGCATAGTTAAAGTTTAGAATTCGAAGCTTAGTCCTGAATTGAGTTTTTCTTTTCAAGCGTTTCATAAGAAATTATTTGTATTAAAACTTCACATCAGCAAAGATAAATAATGTATTTGTAAATTCAGAAAAAACACTCTCCATTCTCAGTCCATTCAACCCTAAATAGTGATTTAATATAATAAAATATAATTTTTGTAATGTTTTATATCCATTCCACGTCTTTTTACGGTTTAATATATAAAAATAGGTTCTATTGTCCTTATAAACTTAATAAGATAAGGAATATCCGTCTTATATAATTATAGCATTAAGATGCATAATCGTTTACCGCGTTTTTGTTCTTATCATGACAATTTTCAAACGGAAGTTGCTTGAACGCAATATTCATAAAAAAAAGTATAATTTAGTGGGTTGTACTCTAAAACACCATAATCGATTTTAGTTCACAATACTTTGGTATCGATCAAACGATATATCGATTCCGTAGAATTTGATATGACACGATACGATAAATCGTGAAAGAGATATGATTTTTATGTATCGAGATTTTTATATCGATTGTTATGATTGGCCGGTTATATGGGCCCGATATGATTTCGTTTTGATGTTGTGATTTAATTGTATAATTAGGGTCATTCATCTTGTGAACGACGTCGTCCTATCATAGTACAATGGCTGATAGACTCTGACGTTACCCGTCACACAACGACCCATCGTGAAGTGTTGATAGATTTTTAGAAAATTAACAAACAAATAACAACAGACAGTTAAATAAATTGTGATATTTTTTTTTGTTTTCTCTCATATATAATTAACAATAGTTGTGAATCCGTGAAAGACGGTAGCTTTAAAAGTCCATATTATTAATGTTTTTTTTTTTAATGTTTCCCTCCGCATATGATTTTAGTGGTAGTGTTTTATTTATTTGACACGTTTATCTAGGTTAGTTTTAGGAGTAAGTCTCGGCGTGACCTTACATGCACAAGAATGCATTTCATAGAGTTGGAAATGGGCTTACATCGACTGAATAATCCTTGTACAAATTACCCTCAAAACAGTGCATTATAATGATTTAAGTACGTGTAAGTTTTTTGTATGATATTATAAAGGTTTTGTACAAGATCGCAACTTGCCGGACCCAGGTCGCTTCCATGAAGCGATCGATTGATTTTCGTTGTTGGCCGAAGCGTTTTATATGAAGACTTTTTGTATTTAGATTTAAGATGATTATTTAATCACTTCTTATTTATCAACTAGATAAGTATATACAAAGTTAGGAATTATTATATTGTTTTTGTGTTGTCTCATAAATTTTATGTAACCACTGTAGCATAGGATTTTTTGTAGCATATTTTTTTTTTTGTATCATTTTATCGGAAACTTCCATTTCATACTATAAAGATCTCTAGTTCTTTCCAAATTTTATGTTTTTTTAGATTAGTGAATTGAAGTAGATATATTGTATTGTCTGTGGTTAACCATAGACTAAGTTAAGGAGTCCTTGCACGATAGGAAAGGTAAAGCAAAAAAAAACTTCTGTAAAAAAGACATTTCATTGCTCTGTTTCATGTTGTATGAGAAAAGTCATTTTGAAGGGTTAGTGGTGTTTTGATTCTATTAAAAATACGCAATGAAATTTCTGAGAACAGTTAGAGGAAACTATTCAAATATAGGAGTGAGGGTATGGTACAAAATTGTTGCTAAATTTTTTCAAAAAGAATAGCGTAATTAAAAAAAAAATACATTTTACAAGCGTTCTTACTATTTATAAAATAATTCAATAATGTTATTCAAACATAAGTACTCCTAACAGTAGAGAATTGCCTGTATTTTAGTTCATGAATAACGCGACGATTATTCCACATTTAATATATACACTCCTTGATTATAGACGCCTGATAGAAATTAGACTTTATCGAAATGTTACTTCACAAGACATTGAATCGAATCTAGGCTTTTCGAGTTTCTTCAATCAATTATCATATTTAATTAGCCCACATAATCCGCTGTTGGATCTTGCAGATACAGCATCCAGGGGCTTCCCCTTTAACATCCCATCAGCTCCTATTATGGTAAGCCTAACCACGCTCTGTTTTCCGGTACGGAAATATTTGCGGTTGCCGCTCCAGTCCTTTGTGGATTCAGCAGCTATTTATTCTTTGAGCAATGTGCCCTACCCGCGGCCATTCCCTGCCAAACTCTCATTCCTTCGGGCTATGTCAGTTACCTCCGTTCTTCTGGGAATCTCCTCATTCCTGAACCGATCGCGCAGACAAACTCCAAGTATAGCCCTCTCTATTGCTCCACGACTTTGAGCCTTCTAATTATCTGCGACCACGTCTCAGTGTCATACGTCATTACTATTATTACAGGCATTTTCGATCAATATTTGATTTGAATTAAAACCCGAAATACAGATTTTTTGTTTTATTTTCAGCTATTTTAGAAAATGCCCTTGATAGTAAATCATGTTATTTACATGATTTTTTTGGATTACATAGTTATATAATGTCGTCCGTTTGTTCACTTCACTGAATAATGAGTAAGAATGAGCAAATTTTTTGGAAACAACATAAAGTCCGTTTCTCTATTTCAAATTGAATTTTGTGGTGTTTTCAAAAAACATTTAGATTTTTACAATCATACTTTACTGGTATTATGGTAATTTTCTATTCTATTCTTTAATAATAATCTATTAAATATCAGGCTAATATTAAAATATAGTGAATTTAATTAAGTACTACAGAGCTTGAAAATGGAGATATGAAACTTTAGTATGGCAATTTCTCTACCGGTTAATCTTATGTAATTATTTTTTGATTTTATTTTTATTTTATTTTTTTTGCAGACATTAATTAGTAAGTTTATCTAAAACTTTTGGATGTCTTCATGCAATAAGAACGAAGTAATAAACAATTTTAACTTTGAATAATTCAGGCTTTTCCGACGTTGAAATTGTAACAGAAAATACTCTTTTATTTATGTTTCTTAATATATTAGGTAAATACTATATTTTATACTGTGAAATTATTTAAACGGGAACATTTTTAGTTTGTCGCTGCGACAAAACTAGTTTTATAGTTTTAAAAATCACTGTGTGTAGATTAGAATATTATTCCCTTAATACATGAATATGATTATAATTATTGAAAAATATTATATTATTATCACAGAGAAATTAAATTAATGATTTTTATTTTGTTTTGTTATTTTTTGTTTTTCTTTCCTTTGTTTTTTCTTTTCGTATTTAATTGCTTCTTAATTTTAGATGTTAAGTGGCAAAATCAATGATTGAAAAATATGGTTTTTTTTCGCTACCCATATTTTTCTTTTTGTGCGTCATACTAAAATTGTTTTTTTTCATTAAGATTTGAATTAAATTGAAAATATTTTTAAATACAGCTTACTGTAGTCTGTGTTTCTCTGGAACCTCAATACGTGATGAAGATTTGTTAAAATGCTTAAAAACTACATCAAACAAAGAGTGGAAAGGTTGGCTGATTTATATTTAAAAAAAAACAACATATTTTGCTTTCTTTATGATTTCGAACTATTGCTTACGGTTTCTTATATCTTATTCATTGTTATAATAATATGCGATCCTTTAAATTATTTTATTTCTATAGTCTACTAAAGGTCAGGTAGACTAGAAATTTAACTGTTGTAGTTTAGAAAGATTTTCTACCAAATTATTTTCCCTTAGAGAAAATATAGCTGTATGTAATTTCTAGAGACATATGAATTTCTTCTTTGTTATTTAATTTTTGTCATATAATAATTATAGTTTTTATTTACGTTTTGCAAGAAAAAAAAACTGGATTGTAGTGAAATATGAAAATTCGAGTGACCATTTTAACTCGAGTTAAACCTCAATTTTTCAATAAACTAATTATTAAGTGATTCCTATCTGTATGAATGCTCATGTTTTTATTATATTTATCGGTAGTGTCCTTAATGTGTATTAAAATATATATATATAAAAAAACCGTTATTGAATTTATAGGTGTGATAGACGCGCGTGTTGTAACGTATATTGCATATTTAGAGGCGTGCACTGTTTTATATCGATTATGAACGAGATATCGATTTTTTTACTAAACGTATTAATACTATACTAGATATAAAGAGGTGCGTGTTCCTGTATTGGAACGTCACGGTGTTACGGTATTCAAATGACAGTATTATTCAGTAATCTCATGTACCAACGTTGCTAATACACTTACCTACATTTAAATAATTCATTGGTGTTTTATTTGCACTCCTTTACTTTGAATTGTGTCAATATTTTTTAATGAAGATTTTTGGTATGGTACTTCGACAAAGCGGCGCGTCACGATAACCGTCTTAGCGTGGCTGCTAATTACATATCCGACCCAGGCGACGGGGCAAGGCAAAGCCGCCGTCGCCCGAAACATGTACTGACAGATCGCCCGGATCACTCGTCCATTACGACGAAAAGTTTGACGAGCGGACTAACTCAGACACAGCCCCTGAGTTTCTTGCCGGATCTTTGCAGTGGGTCGCGATTCCAATCCGGTGGTAGATACTGCGATACACTGCTCTTGCTAGGGCTAGTGCTAGAAAATTCAGGTCGAGCCCATGAGTTCATCTACCCGTCCAAGCGTAGCTGAAATAGTCCCTTAGAGTACCAACGAATAGGTAGGGAAAAAGCAGCTTGGCGTTTGGGAGCCGAACGCCACTGACACTCCTTGATTGACCCCGAACAATCTGATTTTAAATTTTCCAGCAGATATTTAAAAAAGCAATAGTGAAGTTCGAAGTTAATTTTCGTCTCTGCCTATCAATGCTTGCAAAATTATACTTGCGTTAAGTGATATTACGATATTGAAGTTCCGTCTTTTCTTGATCATTTATATTTTATCGTCTAATGCTTCCTAAGCATTTAGCGTGGTATGGACATGGGATGCGTAGAGAGAAGATGCATGTAACTAGGAGATGTATGGAAATGGTAGTGCAAGGTGGAGGGGGAAGAGGTCGACCGAAGAAGACATGGATGGAGTGTGTGAATGACGATATGAGAGAGAGAGGAGTGAGTTTTGAGATGAAGGCTGATAGAAGAGAATGGAAGAGAAAAAATAGCTGTGCAGACCCCACCTAGTGGGATAAGGTGGAGAAAAAGAAGAGAAGCTTCCTAAGCATTTTAAAGATCTGAAAACGATATCGTAGCGATAGCGTATATTCCTTTAATAACATTGAGCTTCCATTGTGAGTATAAAACAATATCGTCTCTCAAGTCAATATCTATTAAACCACAAGTAGTGTTATGGTCAGCGTATTCGCGTTATTTATAGTAACAGAACACGCAAATAACATTTTGTTAGTAGCAGCGGGCTACCAGTAATCCGCGATCAGTTTACGTGAATATATTGCAGACGCCAGTACTGAGATTTCACTGCATCTTTAATCTGGCGACAATGTTGGCTGAAATATGTTCTTAAGCTTCCGAGCCCTAACGTAGTGGATTATTTCAAGTTTGTTTTGTCAAAATTTCATACGCCATATTTCCATAGACCTATATAGTAGGGACACGACATATTGTTCTATACGTACAATTGCTTATATAAATAGCACCCATTTTGAAGGCACATACATAAACATATATCTATCTCGTTCTTACTCAGCACTTTAACTCGCAGGAAAACAATATAACAGTATTTCAGTGCGTACATAAAATGTAACATGAATATACGTAAATATCTCCGTCTCCGTCTAATGAGGCCGAAAATCCGCCATGCTTAGCGCGCCAAATGTCATTGTCACGTCAGTTCGGCCGTCTGTTTTGGGTTGTACATTATTTATTGACTATGATATCGATTTAATATAATTGATCATATAAAATTTCATAATTTATCATGCTTAAAACATACAAAAATAATAATTAAAACGTATTTTATAGGATCTCAAGAAAGTCGGTGTCCTAAAACTATCTATATGTATTTATTATCTATATGTATTTAAATTCATTATGGAGCCCTCATCCGAAAAATCCATTTTTCGGTCGGAATCTATTGATCATCACTAATCATAAATACCACTTTAAAATATGTCATCAAAACATATTTAGACATTCTGTTTAGATAATAATATTTCGGGAAAAAGGCTACCGACAAAATCTCTTCGGAACTATTTAAATAAAATAGTTTTATTCCGCAGTGAGTAAAACACTATTGTAAATTTGTTAAATATTTAATAATTAAGTGATTTTAGAGAGGAAGTCACAAGGAATGACGTTTGTAATTAATGAATAAATGTTCTGTAGGTGTTTTCTTTTCACGCGGTCCCTTGATAAGTTTAAAATTTGAATCACTCTCAAGCGAAAGTGATTCAAATGGTGCGGCGCACCTTCCTTGGGGTGCGCTGTGGTAGTATGTTACGGACTTCAGAGTCAGCAAAACAATTAAAATAGATTGTAATAGTCTAAGAAAAACACGTACTCAAAATACGATAACATTTAGCATGCTAGAAATGGGCTGATGGCTTTGAACTACGCCATATCTTTATGTTTTGCGACAAACGACAACTTTATAAAATCAGTGTAGCAACTTTTAAAAATCATCATATCGTTTACTTGGCAAATTCGAAGGACAAACTTGTCTTAGATTTCACCCATCTAAATCATATCATATTTGCACATAACAATATACCTACTTACTTCCCATTAAAGTATAAATTCTACAAATAAATAATACTGAACAATATTTAAAATAAAATGAGCCAAGAACGTTTATCGATAAAACCTGATAACATTGAAATCTTTTGTACAGCACTAAAGCCGCCATGTTTTGTGGCCAGATGACGTCACAGTGGCACGAAATTTTGGTTGACGTTTCATTTCCATAGGTTTCCTACTTCATTGCATATTTCATTTTGGATTTTTGCGAAGATTTTATTCTAATAAAGATGATTAGATCGAGTCAATATATTAAGTGTATAATCTATGGATCGAGTTATTTCCCTTTTTTATCAGAGATTTATTTTAATTTCATTGAATAAAAAAATTATATTAATCTATTATGTTTACGACTATAACGTATAACCTCCTCCTATCTTCTTGGCAGCTTATAAATTCGTTCCTTGTAAAATATGGATGGTTTAGACTGGAAAAAGTTATTGACAGTCCTCCTGACTAGCTCATAAAAATTTAAGGTTTTTTCATTCAAAAAGTTTTGCAATTTAATACGGAAGTCTAAGGGAAAAAAATCGGGAATTTCATGATTTGAATATTGTACAAAAAGCTATAAATAACAAAATTATTAGTGTATCATAAATAATATGCAGACTAATTTTATAAATTAGACTACGTCGTATAATCCATTGACTTCAATAATAAACACAAAAAAAAAATCACAACCCCGCCAATCAAATGACGTCGTTCATTTCCATCATTCTAAAATGAAAAGTGTTCAAAAATGAATCAGACCTCCTCTCGTATAATAATGTAATATTGCACGCTTACTCTATATTGAATACTTTGTATGGTAAGCAGTTTTGTGTCATAAAAACAGTAAATAAGCATGTTACGATCTTCGTGTGTCATTTCATCGAGATTCCCAACTATTTAGCTATTGTTATTCAAGTTTTATTGAACATCAAGAGTGCCGTAAAAAAAATTAAACTCGTAAGTTTTTGTGGTTGAACCCGCTTGCAGACTGAGCATCGAATAATGTAAATAAAAAAAAAAAAAAAACATAATGATTTAAAAAAAAAAACAGCTGATCGTTACGCAACTAAATAAACTAAAAAGCGTTTAAGAGAATTAACCAAAATTTTCGCATTGTTATACTTTTGATATTTAAATATAATTTTGTTTATGAATTATTTTAACTATGTTCGTAGACTTTTTTATAAATGTCATTTGATAAAGTTATTATATTACATATTCGTTCTAACGCATTTCACAATCAAATATCAGAATAAGCAATGAGAAGTCGCCCGTGTAATTTATTTTCAGATATTGCCAATCATTTTATGTCTAGCTATGTATAAATACATTTACATTCAAGTAACTAACACGTAGTAAGTTTTGAAAGTTGCGCCCTGTGTGCGCTGGGCCTTAACAACGGCAGGCCTTTGGCCCCATAAGGCAGTATTCCCAGCAAAATACTTAATCAATTTACATAATTACAGTCATATTACCGGCCGTACAGT